CCCCCCCCCCCCCCCCCGCATTCTCAGATCGCTGGCCAGCTGGGCCGTTCGCATCGGGCCTCGGGGGTGTGAATATGAGGCAGGGATGTGGTTAAGGGTTGGGGCAGTCAAGGGACAGGTAGGGTCCTAGGGGGCAGTTAGGGGGGGGGTTCTCAGGAGGGGGCAGTAAGGGGACAAGAAGCAGGGAGGCTTAGCTAGGGGGTGGGGGTCCCAGGAGGGGGCAGTCAGGGGACAAGGAGTGGGGGGGTTGGTGGTTCTGAGGGGGGCAGGAAGTGGGAGGGAGTGGATGGGGGCAGGGCTTCCCCCCCAGTGTCCTCTTTTTTGATTGTGGAAATATGGTAACCCTAATGGAACCCCTGAGCGGCAGTGGCCTGAGCCACTCAGCCCACTCCACTGCCGGTCTGGGGTACTGGCCGCTGGCCCCGCACAGCCCGCTGCTGGTCGGGGTCCCAGCCGCAGGCCCCGCTCAGCCCGCTGCCGGCCTAGGTGAACAGAACCCCAGACCAGCAGCGGGCTGAGTGGGCCGGCGGCCCAAGATCAACATTTTAATTTAATTTTAAATGAAGCTTCTTAAACATTTTGAAAACCTTGTTTATTTTACAATACAACAATAGTTTAGTTATATAATATATAGACTTATAGAGAGAGACCTTCTAAAAACCATTAAAATATATTACCGGCACATGAAACCTTAAATTATAGTGAATAAATGAAGACTCGGCACACCACTTCTGAAAGGTTGCCAACCCCTGTGCTAAACAATCTGTTCTACTCTGAGGGTTAGTCTACGCTGGCAATGCTAAAGCGCTGCTGTGGCAGCGCTTTAACGTGCCTTGTGTGGTAACGGCACAGTCAGTCTTTAGCTAGTCAGTCTTTAGTTTCCCTACTAAAAACCACCTCCATGAGGGGCGTAGCTTCCAGCGCTGGTGCACTGTCTACACTGGCGCTTTGCAGTGCTGAAACTTGCTGTGCTCAGGGGGGGTGTTTTTTTCACACCTCTGAGCGAGAAAGTTGCAGCGCTGTAAATTGCCGGTGTAGACAAGCCCTGAGTCTGAGTATGTTTCCCAGACCTGAAGAAAAGCTCTGTGTAAGCTTGAAAGCTTGTCTCTCTCACCATCAGAAGTTGGCTCAATAAAAGAAATTACCTCACCCACTTTTTAATAACTTTATAAATAAACATTATACATAGAAACTTGGTGTAGCTTAGTACAGTATGTTCATCATTTATACATTACTTACAGTACGAACAAGAAATAACATGCAAGAACTTTTACCCAGAAGAATCAGTACCAACCCAATATGTTACTGGGTGCCTAGCTCTGTTTACATATAAATGATATGAGCTCATGCTTTATTTATCTTGTATAAAATCAGCTTTTTCTCAAAGTACAGGGGGCCTTTCAGTGGTTCGAAATTCAGCTGTTGTCAAGATTTACTGGAGCACAAAACATACTTATTCATAGCCAGTCAAAGTGCAGGAGTTGCACTTCTGAGGAGAAAACCTTCTCTCAGGCTGCAAAAAGAAAAAGAGTTTATATGTTGTTAAAAAGAATATTGTAGACAGAAAAGTTTGGTATCAGTTGTAATGCTTCTGGTGAAAGCTTTTTATCAGGCTTGGTCTTGGCCCTGAAAATGTTGAAGAGCATGCATGTCAGAATAAAAAGCACTCAACACAGCAGGCATCCTGAGGAGACTTGAATAAAGACAGTTAAGAAAGATGATCTATCATGAAAACATTCATATAAAGTACATGTCGAGCACAAAGAAAACACACACAATTCCTATCGACAACAGGACTCTGAATAGTCATAAAGGCCTGTCGTAGCTAATCTCAGTGCAGGATCAGATCCTAAAGTGACTGAGTTGTTTTGCTTAATTTTGATTGGTCTCCTATAGCTTATCAGTGTTTTGGTACAAATGCTGATGGAAATTGAATTGAAGAATTTATGTTAGTGAAATGCTATTATACAAATGTACATGGAAAGGAAAAATAAAAGGTGTGCAAAGAGCCAAAGAGACGTTATTTAAACATTTGAAAGTTTACAGAAAACTTCCTGTAATATTTGTCCACTCCCAATAAACACCTTCACCTTGATGTTTTAGACTAGCAGAAAACTATTATCCTGTAATGTTTTATTCCAGAGATGGTGCTTTTCAAAGATTAGATCATCATTTTAATTATTATTTATTTAGTATAGGTGTCAACCATCAAATAATTATTTGGATTGCCTGATTGAGCAGTCTGTAGGTTTTGTTGGCCTTAATGTGTCACTCTTTCTAGTTTTGCTTTGTGTATGTGGATGATGATTATTTGTCTTTTCTGTAGAACAACAAGCCTCCAAACTCACCAGCCTATATCTTCATGATCGACGTGTCATATAGTAACATAAAGAGTGGCCTTGTTAAACTCATATGTAATGAGCTGAAGACTGTGCTGGATAAACTTCCAAGGTAAAGAGATCACAGTGTGTTTTATATAATTTTCCACATTTCAACAACTCATTTGCTGAACAGAGAAAACAAAAAAAGCTTCAGAAAATATCAAAATTATGATAAAAGAATTTTAGGACAATAATTGACAGATCATACTAGACTACATATTTAACATTGTTGACAGTTCTAAAATAGTTTGACTGGCATCGAGACTTGCTTAACTTGTGAAAGGTAAAGAGCAGTTATGGAAGTTGAAGATTTGGTTGGTTTTTATGGTTTTAGAAACTTGAATAAAGACAGTTAAGAAAAATGAATTATCTTGAAAACATTAATATAAAGTACATGTAGAGTACAAAGAGAAAACACACAATTCCTATCGCCAACAGGATTCTGAATAGGTATAAAGGCCTGTCTTAGCTAATCACAGTGCAGGATCAGATCCTAAATACTGTAATTAGATTTTAAAAAACCCACATTTTCTTCAAGAATTGTTTTTTTGCTTTCATATAGTTTTTAATTCCTTTAAGGGAAATAGTATTAACATTATCCATATAAGGCAGTCTAACAAAATTTGCTGATTTCCCCCCCCCCACACACACACATGCCATGGCAGAGATTTCAATGTATCTTTGCACTCGGCTGCTGTAGATAAAAACTTTTGCAAGAAGATGAGATGAAATTACAATAGATACCACCGCCTCTTGTTAAAATTATTTTTATTATACACATTTCTGAGATGCTAAAGGTATTGCTGTTTGTCTTTAGTAATAAGGAAGTATATCTGCTCAGGGCAATTGGAGCTAAGGGTTTATGCCAGGCAGTTCTATGGAAATGGATCACTGATAGGCAGGAGAAAGGGCAAGTGAAGTGGGTAAGGAGTAAACCCGGATCCTCAAAAGTATTTAGGCACCTAAATGACTGGAAGGGTCTGGGGGTAGGTTACCCCAAGAGTCTCGGGAAAGGCAACTCCCATACCAAGTTAAAAGGGATTAGAGTTTTCTATCGCCTTATCAGGGCCTCTGTTTTTCCCATAGTTGCTTAAAACTGTAAGGTTAAAATGTTCAAATTCGGGTGCTTAAAACCAGTCCCCCAAATGTATATTTAGGCACTGAAGTCTCTGGAACTTGTGGGTGCTCAGCACCTCTAAAAATCAGGCTCTGAATATTAGGAGTTAAACCTCTACCAGGAAGGCTCTAAAGAGAACTGTGATGTGTTTGAGCCATGTTAGTTAATGCTGTCTGCTTCCACATCCATGACTAATCTTTAGACTCGAGAGAGAAAACTGCAAAATTCACTATTGAGGTGATACGTGAAGAGTATCCTCTTACAGAACTGCCCAGATGCATGTTGCTTAAGGGTGTTTTGGTTAACTAGCTAATGTGTGCACCTCTTTTCCACAGAATAAAGGAATATATTAGTGCAGAGTATTAATCCTTTGGCTTTGTCAAGATACTGAATGTTGGAATAGCCTTCTTGGTGGTTACATCAGTAACCCAGTAACAGTGTCTGAGTGGCAGGGGAGAATTAGAACCTTCCCTTCAGAAATGATTCATCTATCTAGGTGCAGTTTGCAAAGTTATTTCAAATATGTCATAATGTAGCCCAGGAAGTATAGACCATTGATTCATTTTTGATCAAAGTAATCCTTTTATGATCAGGCTGTGTTCCCATGAGCCAAGAATGGCAGATTAACATTCTACACTGACATGAGAATTACAGATTGGAGAAAAGAAAAATGAGAATTTTTACATTTTAAATTAACTTTGTGAATCGTCATAGGCAATTCATTTTTAACATATCTTGAAAACAGCTAGATCTGATAGGAAATACCATGTCAGGATTCTTTCATGTAATATTTTCTCTTTATTGCTTGACCCTCAACAAAGCAGGAATTGTAATAAAACACTGTATTTATTTCACCTTCTCCCACTGCTTGTGTGTACTGGATGTCCAGAGCATAAGCATGGGCTCATCCAAAGGCCAGATCATGGGCTAGAGTAGGGGTCTCAAACTCAATTTACCTTAGGGCCAGTGCCAGTCCTCAAATCCTCCCAGCGGGCCAATAATGTCACTGAAGATGGTGTTCAGAAAAGAAAATGTTGATATTGTATTTTTTATTTCGAATTTCTTAGAAATAATAAAACTGTCATACAACTTTATACAATTCTTCGCCTGCCAGACAGTTTTTAGTGTTTGCCAGGCACCTGGCAACGCTTCAGTTCTGTCAGTTTGTTGATATTTGGCCTCAGTGACTGAGCAGTTGAAACCTTCAGGATTGCAGCAAGGTGGGCATTAGACAGTTGTGTTCAGTATTTTGACTTGTTTATATTCATTGTGGAAAAAAGTGACGCTGCCTCCATGGCTGACTCTGCCCAGGGTCTAGTGATGGTATCTCTGTCCCTCTCCCGCAGCTAATGGGAGCTGCGGGGGGGCAGTGCCTGCAGCAGACATTGCTGGCAACGTGTCTGCCTGCGTCTCTCCTCCATGGGCTGCAGCGGGGAGGTTCTTGGGCTGCAGGTGGCCCACGGGCTGGGACTTTGAGACTCCAGGTTAGAATCTATGCTGGGATGACACCACTGAAATCAGTGGAGTTATGCAAGCAGAAAAGTTGGCCTTAAAAATGCATAATGATACACTTTGACTAGCGGCTGATTTGTAGAGAAAATATTTCTGTAGTAAGATAAGAGGGCTTTTTATTTAAACACTGTTATCTTTATAGTTGTTCCACTTAGTGTTAATTTACACTGTTGTTACTTTATGACTGTATATACAGCAGGGACCAAGAGAACAAAACATACAGGGCCAATTAGTGGGAGCATATACATGTCCATGGGCAGGATTGTGTCTACAACCGTGCTATGGTAGAAATAAAATAAAAATCTGATTTATTTTAAACAACGGAAGAAATATTTCCTCAGCGTTTTTAAAAATATTCAACTGCAAACAATCACGACCAAATCCTGACTCCTCTGAAGTCAAGGGGAGTTTTGCCATTGACTTAATTGGGTACAGGATTTTACTGTCATTGAAGGACACACATTTTTCAGAGCATGGGTTCTCTATCTGGGCATTGTGAACAGGTCTAGAGGTCTTCTTTTCCAAAACCTTTTTTTCTGTTGTAATGTTTGGGTGGAGAAAGCTGAGACCTGATTTTCTAGAGAGTGGCACATTGGTTGTTTGTGATTCCCACTAGGTCACAGAGAGTAAATTTTACCCTGGTGTAGAGGAGCAGCACAAAGCCAGTTCATCACTCGGGTCCTCGTGATGGTGGCTTCCATCCTATCAATGTGCTTTTGAGGGGCCTCAGTACATCACAGATCAACTCATAAACTATTGCAGACTGCCACAGAGAGAATGTGGCCAGTCTTTTCTGGACAAAGATGGTGTCCAGCTAACACCTAATATTTGAAGGGTAAACTCAGGGCAATCTTCATTTATCTTGACAAATGCATTTTAATTTTATGACTAGCTGACAGAGTTCTTCTCTTCTGAGATAAATAATTTATTTGGGTGGGTGAATAAAATACCTGTGGTTTTTATCATCATTCTTATCATAGGAAAGGGTGGGTAATGATGTTGTTCCTAGGCTGGTAGATTTTTTAAAAAACAATTTTGCAAAACTGTTACATCGTATGATAGAACTTTTTAGCATACTGGTATACGTACTGTAATATATTTTATACACTTAAGTTCCTTGTAGCATGAGACTTTGCGCAGCATTGGGCTATTAAATTTTTGCAGAGCATATGAGTGAAACCTCTGGGAGTTTGTTTGTGAGAATTATAGTATATGGTTTGTGGATTAGTGACTTTCTATCATGTTAATTTGTTCCATGAACAAACGGCAATCATACACTTTCACTCTGAATGACTTCTGTTGTAGATTAAGGGAAACAGGAAAAACAATCTAAATACATCTGAGTCCTGTCACTGCAGCTTCTGAGTGTCTTGTGACCGCTAAAGAATATATAGTCGTACAGCCCTGTGAGGTGGGGAAATGTTGTTATCCCCAGTTTGCAGGAACTGAGGCACAGAGAGATTAAATGATTTGTCCAAGGTCACACAGGAAGTGGATGACAGAATCAGGAATTGAACCTGGATAGCCCATGTTTTGTTTTTTCTTTTTCTTTTTTTAAGCAATGTTGTTGTGTTTTAATGGGGGAAAAGAATCAGATGAATGTCTGACCAGCACTAGTAGTAATGTTGTTGCCCAGGGAGCTGTAGAGGCACTATCGTCATAAGAATAAGGGCTGAATCTGCTGTTGGCAAAATTCCTGCAAGAGGGACAGCTGTGAGATACGCAGTGTGGCAGCCCCATATCCATTGTTGACCTGATAGGAGCAAACATATAGCCAGAAACAAGCAGTATTGATTGAACAACTTATACGGTACATAACACAACTATGGAGGGAATGAAAGTGGCTGTTAAAGAGAAAGAAGCAACATGAGATTGACTCTCACAAGTCTTGAAATACCATTAGATCACCAGAAGATGTTCCCAATAAGTGTAATTACTGTTCCATTAGTCATCAGTCATTAGCAGTAAGTATCATTGAACTTTAATCTGTTTCCTATAAAGCAGATTTTTCAACTAACCGGGTCTCCTTTTTAAATTATATGTGATTTTTCCTTAATTGATTCCATATTCGCGACTTGCCCTTTGGACAGGAGGGACAGGAGGCACATTTGATAGGATAGATTTAAAGAAACCAACCAAAAAAAAGTTTATATCAATTAATTTAATTAGATTATATTAACTAGCACTAACCCTAAGATTGGGACATTTCATCTTGATGTTGTTTGTTCTACCACACAGACGTTATCTGCCAGCACCCTGGCATTTCAAAGAACTCTTATTATTGCAAAGTAAATATTTCAAAATTATTTCCAGTTGTTCCGTTTTATATTTTTCTCACAGAGAAGAGCAAGAAGAGACCTCAGCTATTCGAGTTGGCTTTGTCACCTATAACAAAGTTCTTCATTTCTTTAATGTAAAGAGCAACCTAGCTCAGCCTCAGATGATGGTAGTATCGGATGTTGGAGAAGTCTTTGTTCCTTTGCTGGATGGTTTCCTTGTCAACTTTCAGGAATCACGATCTGTTGTGAACAAGTAAAGAAATAATGTTTCATATTTGAATATGAATTGAATATGAATATTCTTCATTATGGCTTAAAGCAAATAATGATCCTTCCAAAAAGTCAGCCAGAAATCACTGGAGAGATCACTGCCTTGAAATAAACTGGATTATTCTGTGTTTGTTTTTATCTGAAAGTCTTAGAGGCAAGCAAGCATTTAGAAAGCTTGTACCCTAATTTTCCAGTTCTGAAACACAGAAAAAAGCTATCAGCTGGCCTTTTCAAAGCTGAGATAGAAGGCAAAATTTACCCCATGTGTAAGAGAGAACACAATGTACCGGACATTGCTTATAGAACACTGGAAAAGGGGTTGGAGCATTGTGTAGTATACTGCATGTATTTCACTCCACTGATATGCATGCTACAAGCTAATCATGATCTCAAATTCCTGAAGTCCTCCTAGTACAGTTACTCCCCAAATTTAAGCTACTCTGTTTTTTATATTTCAGTATCATGTGTGACTTGA